CTAACGTCGCATCTGCCGCACTCTGCCCTCTTTCCTCACCTAAGCTCCGTCCATGACGTAGGCAGGAAAAATGAAGGCAGGAGAGATTGCAGGTGTCTGGCACCGCGAAAACCCACACCTAGGCGTACCATCACACTCCCTGGTCCACAACGGACAGTGACCAGGATTTCATAAAACGAGAAAAGGGATACCGGCCAGGATCTCCTGCTGGCGCAGTGTGATGCTGTACCCAGGCGTGCCAAAACGGTTCCCCTCCCATATGGGGCATTTTTTATGGTTGCGCATTCCCAAAAACAACCGTCGTGCCATGGTCATGCTCCTTGTTGGCCCAGCGCTTCTACCATGCGTGGCTCCTTTAAAGAGCACCAGATGTCAGACATTAATGGCTTGTCTGAGTCAGGCCGACAGAGTAGGATCAGGCGCAGTGGATGACGCGGTGTCAAGTCGCCATCTATCCCATGCGTTCCAAGTGCCGATCCTACACTCCACATAATCAATCATCAAAAGTGGCACAGTTCGCAGGTTATTGACATAAACACACCGTCGAATACGACGCGTCACCCGTCATGCGGTCATTGGCGAACTGGACCGCATGCATGTCGCATAAGTGATGTGTGACAGGTTGCTGATGGCTGTCGTGAATGCGCGTGTGACCGAGTAGGTCCACCTGTACGCTAAGTGCGTCTGCGTACGCAGGTCTTCATGCATGCGCACATGACTGAACATGCGGTGACCGAATGCCCTGGGCCATTATTGACAGGTAAGGCGTGATGGACAGGTATATGTCAGGGTCCCAGTTACCTGTTCGTCGGTCGCGCATTGTGGGGCAGACGATAGACCATGCCTGTGCATGACTGGTAAGTACGTTGCAGCGGGGGAGCTTGGGATTGTGTCTGCAGAGGTGATGGTAGCGCTGCTGGTGGTAGCCATGAGGTCAAAGAGACCTTCTGGCTTGGGGGTGCGTTGGTCATGGCAGCACTGCGGTGAAAATCGCCTTCTCATATGCAAGTGTGACTAAGTAGGACAGTGTGTTATTTGAATCTCACTGGCAAGGTGTGACTGATAGGTATGTGTCAGTTATCCTGACACCGGTTAATCGATTGCGACTCAATGGACTCGCAAGCTAACGTCCAGACCAATGAGAGATTCGAAAGCCCGGTCGTAAGGATGACAGGCCGGAAGTAAGTTTAAATCGCAGGTAAAATAAACGATGGGGGTGAGATTGGCAGGATAGGAGGAGTGCCCTCGGCGGTGATAGTGGTTGTGGTGGTGATGGTGGTGGTGGAATTAGTGTTCTATGAGACGGAAGGTGCGATGGTGGTGTTGACACTACACCGATTCCAGATATGTCTGATAATACTGATCCACGACCTGGCCGTTCGTTGACAATGTGGGCACGCTGGGAGGAGTGGGGTGACTGCAACATTGATAGGTGGTGCCCTCGGGTTGCGTGTCCTCCCCCCTCCTCGCTTTGTTCCAATCTATTCGCTGGAATTCGTATATTGCTGCTGCTGTTGCAATTCTTACAGCAGTGCGTTAGGCCTATCAGTTTTGTGCGAGGCCTTCTCCAATCACAGGCTGAATTTACAGGCGTTTGAATGAGATGATCAAGGGGTCACAGCACCGACAGTTTTATCCACCTTCTCTGTTAGCATCCTTTTCGACGTCCCCATAAGGCAATTGCTGATGCGGGTCCCCGTCATCCATCTTCATATCGTGAGTCGCCCATCGAAAGTATAACTGTCTCATCACAACGTATATACTGAGAGTGTCCGTTCATTACGGGATTTGGGAGTTTGGGATGCTTACCTGCCACTTCACCTTCCGTCTGTTTCCCCGCGACAGGTATAAATGATTTAGCTAACTTGCCTGGATTTTCTGGTTTGCCCCATAAAAGAGCTTAGTGAGGACAACAGTCCCATGCATTCTCAAATTTGTGCTAAGGAGGATGCCACGGCAGATACAGACAGAGTACTGAACCCTACTGAGATCCTAATTGGCTGTGGAGATCAATCGGCGATGCCGTTGTCTATGCCGATACTCCTAGACATTGTAATCTTCAGGTCATGATGTGAGATGGATTGATATGAAGATTTCCACTGGTTTTATGGGGCCATCAGTTGTTCCTCGGTGAGGTGTGACCATTGTCTTCAGTGTACTGATAATCAGTCCGAGGCTTGTACGCTCGGAGACGAAGAGGTCCACAGTTCGCTGTATATCCTCCTTCATCGTGACGTTTAGCGTGCAGACATCCGCGAACAATAGATTTATGTCACTGGCCGCAGAGACTCCCCATGATGAATTCATGCATCAGGTATTGGCCTGTTGGTTGTCGTTTTGGTAGGCAATATCGCGCCCCTTGATAGCCCTCACCTCAGACGTTCATGAGCATATCTCTCAGACACGTATAATAATCTTTTGGAAGTTTCACCTGAGGAACCTTTGTTATGATTTTACTGTCTCCAAATTCTCTGTTTTGATCGCCTTCTCAGCATCCGGCATGACCCACTAATTTGACATTAATTCAAGGGCTTTAGGAAATCACCCACACGCGCCTGGAGGAACACGAGCGCGCCGCGTGTCCGACGTTTGTCAAGGCGCCCGGGTTGCTCAGCGATTTACCCACCGGAGGAGCATCAAACGCCCAAGGAAGAAGACGTTTACTTCGACAATACTAATCATCAAGCGAGACCAATAATAAGCAATCAAATGTAAGAATTGTTTATTTTTATCGCTGTAACGTAGGCGATTTTAGTAAGAGTCGGCTCAATGCAAGTACACCTGGGATCAAGCCAGGCCAACTTATAACTGTTTCGAGGGAAAATTACTAAAAGACGCAGAGCAGATACTTCATTCTTGTGTATTTGGACTATATAAGCGGTCAGTTTACAAGGGCTTTTGCTTATAAGGAAAAAGACATCGGAAATGACATTTCGTCAAGGGAATGTGACAGACGTGCAGTTTTGTGTGTTTTTAATTGGGTTTACTGTGTCCACTTTGGGTGAGTCTGGATATAAAAAGCATTCACTAAATTATCGTTTACGGTAGGCCTACTCAATCCCTACGTACTTTGATTCGGGAATAGATGTAAACAAAAGACGAGTTTTATTGACGTCAATGGATTTCATGGTCGTCTCAGAATTGGGACCTGTTGCTTATGTACTTGAAGCACGAACAACTTGGTTAAAACGCATTTCCTTTGTTCGTCATACCTGTTTTGCGACAACAGGTTCCATGTGAGAAACAGTAAAACAAAATACTTTGACGTCAGTGAATCTCTCCGTTGAAAAAATGCACGCAATTCCAGCGCCCTAAAAAATAAATTTAGCTGTGTAGGGCTGTTATGTGCATGACATTGAACTGATACATTTCTCTTAACAGGTAATGGGGAGAAGTTCCGCAGCTTGTTAACGGAAGTAATTCGATATATCTGTTCCGGTGAGCCCTTCCTCCTTTTCAAACTATCATTCCAGATCTCTCAACTTGACCCGTCTGAAAATATACATTATTACGAGAGCTATCGTCCGCCCTGTTCTTCTCGATCAGAATTTCGCAAGCGATGGATACTTTAGTCTTAAGACCGATTGAAAGCATTTATGAATGTCCCTTTTCACACTGTTGCTTCTTTATCCGCAAAAAGGACATATATATATATATATGAGTGAAAAAGAAAACTGTTCGAGCGCCGGAACATTTTGTTTATTGTCCTGAGCTTTCGAACATGTATATATACGTCTTAATCTCCTGCTTTCAATTTTTCCGTATAAAATCCAAAATCGTTCCACCCCAACGTCCTTCTTCAAATATTCAGGACTTCTAGTAAGTCTACTTCAATTAATACCCAAAGTTTATCTGGTAAGCTTGTCGCACTTCCACAAATGGCCTCTAGACCGACCCTCAGCAATATTGCCAACGCTTTTACTCCAATATAGGTAATTTGGCTGGGCACGAGAGTGAGTACCCAGCCCGTATTACAGGTGGCCTTATGCTAGATTCCGGGTGGGTGGATACCTATCCCCGGATCCCATCTTTAGCCCTAACGCTAACGCCAACCCTAAACCTAACCCTCCTAGCACTAATCCTAATATTGACACCAACCCTAGCAAACCTGTAATTTAGCTCAAGGTCACTTTCAATACGGGTGCTTATTGTCGTGCCCTACTGTCGATTTGCCTGAGAAACTAACCCGTTGAAGGCATGACGGGACGAGAATGTCCCATAACCCGATCACTGGACGTAATTCCAATACAGTTAATTTAACCGATCGCAACGGACAGGACAACGGGCCCGTGGATCAGTGACCAATGATCGTGGGTTCGAATCTGCGGTTCTCCGAATATGGGGTTGGGTATGGATGGCTGATGAGGACGGATAAGCCAGAAATGGCTATTTCAATCTCGCGGTGCGCTGTTTTGGGGTTATTTCTGTCCTACACCGCAGTCGAATACTGAAGAGGAAACAAATCTAAAAATATGAGAACTGTTTGAAGAGAAGCATTGTGGCAAACTAAACCGTTGGTAGATAAGAAGCTAATGAGAACTGCTGTTACAACTAACATTTGACAGACTTATTCATCAGTATCTACTTTCCTAACGATGCAATTCCATAACGATATGACCTGATAACCAGAAACAATCATAGAAACTACAAAACAAAGGACACCGTGAAACATAAGTCAAGTCGCCTGCAAAAATGAATAAAACAGTTGGTTCACTAGTACACTCCCCTATCTTTCCCGCATGCCCTAATAAATGGACACTTTTTCAAGACACCTGCTACCACTCAAAGCTCAACCTTTTGCAGGATAGCGGAGAAAAGCAAACTTTGATTTACGAACTGACGTCGCCCCCATTTTCGTCGAGACCGTAAATCTTCCCCGGTGTTAATTTTGCCTCATTGAGCGAAAAAGTATAAATACGGACAGACACGTGCATGGGAATGAAGGCAAAGATAGCCCAACTAACGCTAACTACAGCAAAGTCCACATACCGCTTGACGGAATGAAAACCCTCCTTGTTCTTTTTACTGCCGTCTGTCTGTTCGCCGGTGTCTGTTGGTCGGAGGAGGCAGTTAAAACCAGCCCTGGTCCTTCCCCGCTGACGGTAATCCCCGAAGAGAAGGCCAGTTCTGACACCACCGCTACTACTCTTGTTGCTGATACTACTGATGCTGCTAGTACTGCCGATGCTGCCCTTGCCACTTCGTCAGTTAACGCCGTCACCGAGAGCTCTGCCACCACCCTCACTACGAGTTCCACGGTGGCCAGCGAGGCAGGTTTTGGCTTTGATGATGATGACGATGATGCCGAAGGATGGGTTGTTGTTAGCGCAGAAGAGCTGAACAGACTCATGGACGAGATCGAGGCTGAAGGCAGACAGAAGAGCGCTCGGAGGAACAACGTCCAAGAGCAAGTTGCAACACCAAGTCAATAATCACATCATTGGACCTCCTGCCCCACCCCCTCGCCTAAATTGTTCTGTCATTTAATAAATTGTTAGGACCTGCTTTGTATTTGTATTGGTCTTGATAAATAATATTTTATGCTTTTACCTTATCATCGGATTGGTAGACTATTTCATTCGTTGACGTATTTACAGTAGGCGGGCTAACTCATGAAATGTCAACCGAAATTTCGAAATGTGTTTTGGTTTCGAAAAGACGTAAGTAGGGTCGTAAAATTAGTCAGCCTGCAACACAATTCTATAATATTTCAGTTATCTCAGGATGCCGGTTTTCGAATGAACTTCTTTGCGGTTGTATACAAGAACTATACTCTGGAAAAAGTGACTATCTAAATAGCATTCACTTTTCTCTTTGGTTTTCGATGCCCCTAAAAGTGAAATTATATTTCATGGGAAACATGCATGAAAATATTCATTCTGTTTGCTCATTCGGCGAACAACTACGTCTTCTTCCAATCCTATACTCGAAGGAAGGGTATAAGTCGGTTTGCAAAAACTTTTCCAATTCCCGAATAATTTTGAACACGCTCCACCGTCACACTTGGAGTCAGGGTTTCCAAACCACAAGCCGTATATTTTCCGCGTACAGAAAATCACACATTTCTTTACGGTAATAAAGGGGGACTATATAGGGTTCATAAAATTATGCAGTGGATTTAATCCATAGTTTTAACTTTACAGACCACATATTACGATATATGAACGGCGGTTTCATGGTATTTAAAATTCCTGCAATTGGAAGCTTTTTCAAAACCGAATTATGTCCCTATTTCGAGTATAAAATTAGAAGAAGACGTAATCTTCTACCGAACGAGCAAAAGAATGAATATTTTTATGCATGTTTTCCATGAAATATAATTGGACGTTTAGGGGCATCGAAAATCAATGAGAAACATTCATGCTACATAAGTAGTCATTTTTACAGAGTCTAGTTTTTGCATGCAGCCGGGAGGAAGTTCATTCAAAAGCCGGCATCCTGAGGTAACTGATATATTATCGAATTATTTTGCGGGCTGACTAGTTTTACAACCCTACTTAATTAATCTTTTAGAACCGGAAACGCATTTCGAAATTTCGGTTGACATTTCATGTGTTAACCCACCTACTGTAGCAGCTTGCTGGTCGACTACCTTGTCTATAGCACGACTGCTGTGAGACTACCTAGAGGGCTCTAGACCGAGCCCCTAAGCACAACCGGACTAGCAGGTTCCGCAACGTGATCGCTGCGCGTCCTTTACCGTGGCTAGAGCGTTGAATCTTTAACTAACAGAACGCAGTTCAGTGCCTCGAGCTTAGGTGTGGCTGGCTGATTACGGCCAATAAATGATAAATGGCCATTCCAGTTTCGCCTCTTTTCGTCTTAATCAGTAATGCTACTTAGATAGTAATTTCGGCTAGATTGCAGTTTGTAGCCAGGAATGAGGAAGCGGACGGTTACATTAACCCTAACCCTACCGCAACCCTAAATGTTAACCGTCAACCCTAACGGCAACCCTAACCCTAACCGAAATGCTAAACGTAACCGTAGCCCTTAGACATAGCCGTAACTGAAAAACATAACCGTAACACTGAAACCTAATCGTACGCCTAAACCCTAACCGTAACCCGAAAACCTAAGCCTAAAGGCATAACTCTAACCAGAAAATCGGAAACCATTAACCGGTACCCTAATCCTAACCCCACACGTAAAACGGAAGCCAAATGGGTCAGATGTGATTATGGAGCCCCACAAAATAGCCCCAGTAAACAACCCCCTCCCCCCATCTGTAATACGGGTCCTGACTACCAACTGCGATCTAGCCGTAATTTCTACTGGGCGCGGCTCTTACAGGCAGTCGTAAAGAGGTGCATTCAAAAGTCAATATCATCATGAGTCCGAAATACCTACCGCATGATAATCAGTATTGAAATCTCACCTAAGTAATCCTTGCTAATCGAGAACGCATTTCAGAATTTCGGCTAACATTTCTTGAGATAGGGTACTGACTGTAGGTCCGTTGTTGCGAAGAAAACTATGTACACCGCACCAACTGTGTCTCCAATACCGATACCTTCTGCTATCTCGGGTAATTTGTTTTAGAATGAATCTAAAACGTCTGGCTCATGGTTCCTGGCGCGTCAGTCGAGTCTCCTCGTTCTTAGCCGATTTCCATAACTCTTCTTCTCGTGCGCATTCGTCATACCTGTTATTTATGGTTTTCCGCAGACTTCGGGACGGGGTCTATAGGTTTTTTTCACATCGACTGCAATCCGGCTAAGAAGCCTTGCAGACGTAGAATGAAAAACATCCGAGACGAAAGTGCATTTATTGCAGACTAACAGATGTTCATTTACTCAACTTAAATACAGTACTCAATGGACGCTAAGACATGCATCCTCGTGTCTCCGCTGCAGATTATTGCGGAAGGAATCAAGCCTCACAAGACGTGCTTATTTTAAGAGTCTTCAGTAGCCTTTTGATATTCTTCCTCAACAAAAATCAGGAGAACGAGTCACATAATTGCGCACAATGTTCGACTGGCAAGCTCCATCATAGTACCGCACACGACTTGTCCACTAGTTGGTAACCCGACACTGCTGTGGAGTCGAAGCCCAGAAGCTGTCAAGCCCCATCCTTATCGCTTTCTGAAGCCAACCTTCTTTGCGCTCGACCGCAAAACCTTTTGAACACGGGGAGATTGGACTATTTTATCTTAAAGCGCAGTGCCTCCCTGATAGTTAGAGAAGTAACAGTTGTTTTTATATATTTCCAGGCTCTTAGATTATTTGTACTCCCAGTGATTACTTGGCAAGAAAAGCCCATGACTCACGATCATAAATCATAAGTCACTCGAAACTACATTACTTAGATACTGCTTGGTCGAGAAAGTACTGTGTTTACTCAAAAGCGAATTTTCACAGTGGTTCGTCTGTCCAACAACGTATGTAATCTTACACAGTACCCGGTTTGTATGAGGTACAGGATAAATATGCTCTAGGGCATCATCGAAGGAGTTCCTCCCTTCAGCAAAGCAGCCTCCAAATATCTGAGCTTCTTTCTTAATGTCGGTAACAGAGGAAAGTTTTTTGCCGGTTTGTTTGGAGCACAATAACATCTATATTATCATCGAATCTTATCATAACGACTTATCATTAGTCCTTTCAACCTATGTCAATATTCTTTTGAGTGACCTCTTCTAAGCACATACTGTAAAGCTGTCAATTTTTTCCTGATTCACTCTTTTAGAGGACATTTTATGTGGTGAGTAGACACAACTTTTTATAATTGCAGGTTGTAGAAGTATTAAATTCATTTAGTCAGAAAACACATGCCTTGTAACGGGCTTGAATCGGCTGGCCCGTAGGCAGAGCCAGACCAGTATTCGAAAGGGAACGGATAGGTAATTCGATCACGTCCCAGGGTACGCATTTTTCGGATAGTTTAGTCTCATATCTATACAGCCTGAAGTAATAGGATTTATTCATACGCATAGGAGAATGGAAATTACTTTGCCTTTTCAACAGACTATAGTCCGTGAATAACTTTGCCTCGTCTAGATTTAATTGCAGAGCCTTTTGAATGTTTTTAGAACAGTTTACTCTTTAAGAAATGATCCAGCCTTTTTCGTAGAGTACATAGTCATTATTGGAAGTTTGTAGAGAATACCACTAGCAATGAAAGTGCTATGGGTATTGTGAGTACGTCTAGGTTATGGAAAAAAACGGATAGATCACGTAAGCCGCGTGTTCACTCGGACAAAGGTGGAGGGCTGCCGTTGCAGAAGGCCGCTTTGACACGAATGATCATCATTCAGTTCTGTAAAGTGCACTTATATTTTGCCGGTCTATCCGGATGCCTTGAAAAATAAGTAAAGCACTTTTTCAAATTATATGCTGGCCTATAAAAAACCTTTCAATGGTCACTTGCAGGCATTCTCTGTAGTCGTCTGAAACATTCCGTAGGTTCAGTTTATGTCTTAGCATTCACACTTAAACATCCAAGAAAAAACATGCACGTTGGTTAACCATGGCGAGATCAACTTCATGATAAATACAGTATGTGGTCTGATAGGGGAAACGGTATGACGGAAATTGGGATGGTCCTTTTAGGGCCATTAAAACGTTGTGAATTTTATTTATTCGGCCACCTCATTCCAGTAAATGTACTTTTTCACGCAGACAGATTTTATGAACTTCTAAAAATTTAGTTTACTCCTCTGACACGATCGTTTGCGTTTTCGGCATTTCCGCTTTTTTAGAAAATTTCTATTTCTAGCCAACGGGAAACAGTGATTCAGATATTTCATTTGGGCTTTCATTTGACTGATTGTCGTTTATTATTAATTTGGTGTCATTGTGGATGCTCAGATTGACAAGCTCCCGATCTACTAAATACTTTTCGTTAATTTGGGCGCATTTCATAAGATCGCCTTCTGCACTATACGCTGATTCAAGCTTAGATAACACCCGCACTGCTGTGTAGTACGTAGTTACTTCCCCAGCAGCCCCAATCTTCCAAACACAAAAAGTCCATACAGAATGTGAGTATTTACAGCCTCTCGTGAAATTAGGATGCGAACAAAAGATGAGAAGGCAGAAAAATCAGAAATATACACAGTAATGAGCGTGGGAGGAAGTCTACCGAATGCGGGCTATGTGTATTTACATAGTTTTGACAGGGCTGGAAGGGGGAGGTTCCGCTGTGAAGGCGGGTTGTTGTGGTCCGATTTCTGGTTCCTGCAGAAGTACCAATATCAAAAGTACTAAGCGACACGCAGACCAGTCAGACTGTGCTGCTCTGCTGCGCTGGGCGTCTGCGTCCGTGCTCCGTGGTCTTCCTGTTCACTGGATTTTGTGTCCGCCTGCGAGTACTTGGTCAGTGCAAGCATTGGCCTATCGCTGTAGCAACCCTGCGGCTTGGTGAAGGCCTGGTTGTCTACTGCAGACGTGGCCATTAGCTCCCATGTTTTTCGGCCGGCCTCCTCAGAGCT